ACTTTTTGCTTGATATTTATGTCGGACATTTAAGCTCTTGTTTTTAACAGCTAAAATGTGTCTCTGACATAAATATTATGCAAACCATGTCATATATCAGATGTCAAAATCATTGCTGTCTTCATTTGGCGAGGCTAGTGCCTTAACATTGTATTTAGTATATAATTAGAAACAAACAAACAAACAAAGAAACATTTTTTGATAAATTATATTTTTATTCGTGGTCCCCAAGTACAATTATACCAACTATACAGGGTATTTTGAAAATGCTGCGCGATGTGTTTGGTGCGTTTTTATGGAAATGCCTGTAGAAGAACTATCTCACATTCAAATTAAAATTAAATATTTATACTCGGTGCTGTTTTCTCATATGCTTCAAAGCATCATCCTTTCTTGTAAATAATCTGTTACAATATGTACAAGGAAAAATTTTAGGTTTACCACAATCCTTGTTTTTATGAACTGATAGGGTGTTTTTGTTTTTGTATATGTTGCCACATTTTTGACATTGTACACGTTCTCCTAAAATAAAACAAAATTAATTTTTTACTCTGAAATAAGTTTTTTAAACGAATATTAATCGGACGGAACGAAATAGATGATGGTAACCATTTAGTTTGCATATATTGGATAAGCGAAATACATAAGGTAAAAATTGAATATGCCTACATTGAAAAAAGTGGTGCAATATTTCCAACAACAAAATTATTTTAATCGGACAATGTTTAGAGGGTCCCCCCACCTCTTTAAAGTGAAGAAGTTAAGGTGCCCTTTAAACCCCTTTAAAACTGGTACGAACAAAATTATTATTTTTTTATTTTGTTAATAGTATATGTATATACCACTTTTACCAATATATATATTAAATAAATGCATATTAAATTTTGACCACCATGTATTTTGCTCCGCCCTACTATTAATACACCAACTTACTTTCTTATCTGTAAAAAAAACCTAAAAACACATTTTTTCTTTAAATAATTATATATTTTTTTCATAATAAGCGTATAACAATGTTCATTTCATAATACTCATAAATAATTATATATAGAAAGACTTCATATAAATGTGTAAGTAAAATACATTATTAAGGGTGTGCCAGAAGTCACACACCACCTTGAAGGTGTATGATTTACAGACCCCAAGACATCCCATAAAATTGTTAAAAAAGTTTACCTTTGTTTTTTAAAAAGATGCAGGGGGTAACTTTGGTATTGACACCATTACCTAATAATAAAGTGGTAGTTTAATTCATAATCATTATGACAAGCAAATAGACCCTATAAGGGTCCCTATAAGGGACTAATAAAACCGAAGATTAAATCTTTGAAAAAAAAACTAATATTAACATAACATTGACCCAAGGTAAATGACTCTTATATTTTAAAGCATTCTCAAAACACAACATACATATCACAATACTCACTAGAGAAAACAATATTTAACAGAAATGCTATGACAGAATTTAATTTTAATTTTAACTGTCAATCATTGTCTATGGTGTGATGTTCACATTCGTAGCTAATAAGTTCATGAGCACCCAGGCGAAAGATTTGAATTTTGCCCCCCAAAACTTATTTTGTAGGAAGAAAAACAATGTCAAACTTGCACAGTATCTACCTATGAAAATATGTGAAAAACTCAAAAATTCCAATGTAAATACAGAATTATTAAATACTAAAAAAGTAGTATATTCAATACGGCGGAGAAAGCATATTAACTGCCACGCTCAGATCTGCAGCGAACACTGAGCTCGGCTATAATATAATAAATCCGCCTGTAAGATAATGTACTATTTTTTTCTATAAATAAAAAATATTTCTTGCTATTAACATGAAATTTTTAATAAAAATGCAAAGTATTACTAATTATTTATTGAAAAACGTGTATTGTATTATGTTTTAACAAGCTAAATATTGAAATTTTTTAGATATAAAAGCATATAAAAATACTTAAAAGGAACTGTATGTATTAAAATAATGGTAAATCACAATTGGTATAACGAGTATTAATTACTTAATTATAAGGAATTTTATATTGGAATATATTTTTATAATCACATCGAAAATACCTAATATTTAATTTACCTACATTTTTACAGCCATATACGTAGTTCAAATATCATCAAAAATATATTTATATTATTATTAAATAATATATAAAAAGGAATTTAATTTAATAAGTTTTATAACATCATTTAAAATTAATTTTAAAACATTAACAATCTCATTAAAAAATTTAAGAATTTTAACCCACACCAAATTTATTTTTTTATTTCCAAAACCAAAATTGCAAAAAAACTTTTTAAATTTATGTTGTAGGTATTATATAAATGTAGGATTACTTATAAAAAATATAGAAGACCAATATTCGTATGTCTAAAAACTAAAATATAACTTATTACTAAGTATTTTTAAACATAACTTTTATAATTATAATTATAATTATAATTATAATTAATCTTAACAGTACTCTACTGTCAGTTCATGTTACCTAGGTCCTAGGCGGTTAAAGCCTCATATCCCTTACTTTAATTCCCAGTATGCATTTAAATATTACATTTTACTTTAAGGAGTGTAATAAATTTTGACAACCTTATTAGTAATTAACCGCAATAGAATAAATATAAACTTTATCAAACTACAATTATAATTGAAAATTGCGCAAATGTGATGTATGCATATATTGGAAGGCACATATAATATTATTATATTTTTATATTTACTGACAATAATTTTTAAAGTTTATATACCTACCAATTTATAAAATAACCTAAAATGTATAATAAAAATATGTGTATTTGAAATAGTAATAATATTTTAAACTTAACATTCTTAAAAGCAATTTGTATTGTTTTTTTTTGTAATATTTTGGGACATTTTTTTTGAAGTATAAAAATACAAATATATTAACAAAGATTTCTTCGGGATATCTTTATAAAAATAGTGAAACTTCGTAGATACTGTTCCTAGGAACTTAATTAAGGCACGTTTTAAGCTAAAACATTTGTTAAGATTTTGTTAAGACATTAAATCACAAGCAAACATTTGTGTTAACAGTTTAAAACTAAATTAAATTTATAAAGACAGAAAAAATAAACTTTTAAAACCACTCAAAATTGGCCAAAACCATCAAATATTTAATTCTAGTATAGTGGCAATTTAAAATAAATGACATAAAATTTGAAATATATTTACTGCCACTATTAAATGATGTTTTATAACTATTATAATATTAACCAAATCACTGTTTATTGATATTTATAGCAAATTAAATAAGATTTAAAAACAATTTTCCAAATGGCTTTGGTTTACATATTTTACCTTGTAAAAAGAAAGAGTAAACGCGTAATTAGAACGTTGAAAAGTTAAAAAAATGAACCGAACTGTCAACAGTTTCATGCTTAATTTAATTATAAATGAGATTATTCTGAATTAAATACCGCATATTTGTACATTTGGCAGTTTGGCTTAACATTAACCTATTAAAGGTTATGTTACCTGTGAAAAGTCTGTGTAGGTTATTGTATCCTCTTTATTCTCGTCATTATATATATATATATATATATATATATATATATATATATATATATATATATATATATATATATATATAAGTTTTTTAACACTTACTTTAATACCCAACCGTTGTCGTTACGTGTCCACTCTTTTAATGTGTCCATGTATTTTAATGTAGCTTTAAAAAAATTAACAAACCATTTAATATTTGGGTAAATTTTTAGTAATTTTTATACACAATTTAAATTGCTATAAAAACAAATAAAAAATTAAAATCGCAAAGCATTTTTGTTAGTTCATAAGTTAAAAATGGAAAATAATTTATGAACTGTCTTTATCAATCTACAGAGTATGCCCAGATCGGGTTGCCAATGAGAAAAAAAATATGAAAATGCCTATTTTAGTTTATTTCTTTATTGTTAGAAAAACAAAGTTTCTTGCTTCTAAACCCATAGGCGTTGGTGATAATAGTGCAAAATCAATACATACTTGATAGCGACTTTCCATACCGCAAGACAGAGTGGAAATATTTCCGGCGTTTCGCGAATTTCACCAGGTTGGGTTGGCTGCAACATTGACCAGAAAAATTTAAGTTGAGGGGCGGACCAATTGCAAGGCCTCCAAGTTCACCAGACCTGACCGAATTCGACTTTTTTCTTTGGGGTCACACGAGACTCCGGTTGAAACAGAGGAAGAGTTAGTAGGAAGGATTGTTGCATCTGCTGCTGAAGTTCACAAAACGCCGATATCAGGTAAGCATTGATGCCGGTGGTCAGAATTTTGAGCATATTTTAATAACATTTCTTTTAATAAATCCTTAACGTTCCTTGTGTGTTTTTCTGTCATGCGATAAAACGGTGGACTGTTGTGCACTATTAGCACCGAACCAAAGCACATGCGCATATGAGTTTATAAGCAAAAAACGTTTGTTTTGAAGAAAGCTACCAAACCTTAATTTTTGTAACAATAGATTTGTGCCTAGTATGTATGTTTTTGTGTTAACATTCGAAAATGCATATTTTCTTAAAAATAAAATATTCATTGATATTAAAGTATCAAGAAATTGATGCACTACAAAATCTTAACAATTGTTTCTGCTTACGACTAAAGGCTATATTGCTTTCTTAATATACGGAGGTATTTAATATTACAGGGTAATTTATTACAGAAGGCGAAAAATGAAAATTCAGGTTCAAGGATTCCAAGCTAAAAATGCGAAATATTTTTTTTGGTCCGCCTCTGAGATACCGAGGTCAAAACTTTAACAAAATATAATTTCACGTTCCTTTAACCATTCCTGTTTGCAGCCCGTAATTATAATATTTTGTTTTAAACCAAATTTGTATGACCTAATGACTTAATAATAATTAGTTTTAAGTTCAGATAACTTCATGCATCGATATCTCAAAAACAAAGGCCCAATCGAAAAAAAAATATATTTTTTGCTTAGAATAAAACATTGAACAGGAATGTTTATTTTTTGCCTCCTGGTATAAATCACCCTGTATGTAGTTGTCTTTAAATATAATGCTAATTAACTTCGTTACTTCCAGCGTTAGCTTTTTCCTTATTCTCATCCAATTTATTTAAATCGGAATAATCGATATCTTTGTGCATTCGATCCATGTGACGTGACAGATGCATCTTTTGCTTGGCCTTGTAGGAACAATGTTGGCACTCGAATCGAGGCTCTTTTTCCGCACTCCCATTTACGATGGTTGCGCAAGGAGCTCTTCAATTTGTAAACTCTATCGCAATCCGGGCAGCTAAAACCTGCTTCGGGAGTCAAAGAGTTTTTCTTGCTAGGACTGGCAATTGGGCTTAAAGTTAAATCGGAATTTGTCATGGATTTTTGCATATTTTCGCGCATTATCATCATGGGAAGCATAAGATGAGCTGGTAAAGAATTGCTCCATTTGTTCAACATACGACCTAAAAATATTTATGTCAGTATTTTTAAAAATTTTAATATTTATATATAGGTAATATAAATTTTAATAACATAACTTAAAAATAAGTAAATAAATAGACCCAAAACCCATACAATTAAAAATAAAACACAATACTTAACGCATATTAACTTTATTTGCCATTAAAGAAAATTTGTATTTTGAATAGTATAAAAGGTTTTTTCATGTGTTGACATGTGTCTAGTAAGGACATGTTTATATTTAAATTTTAAGGAGCACATTGTACATTTGTATTCAGGTGGTTTGCCACATTCCACTTTTAAATGTCTTATTAGAGTTGCTTTTCTCGAATAAATTCTTTTGCAGTTTGGACACGTAAATATAACTAAAATAAAGCAATTAGTAAAGGTTGTAAAAAATTAATAATATTTACACAAAAAAATATAAAGTGGTTTTAATTTAAACATGCTAGTAGTTTTGTTCTCACCAGTCAAAATCAATCAGATATTTCCTTAACATTATTTACAGACTATTTGAGGAGATCCATTCCAAAACTCATTTTATAACTCATCATAAATTTGGCCAATGGTGGTTGAGAATTTTACTTAGTTGCCAGGTCAGATAAACGGATACGACGTGGTTCACTTCAGTTTTAAGTTGGTTCCAACAAAGCAAAAATAATGGGTAATAATTTAAATCTAGAGCCTTGATTTAATAACTGTCATAACGTCAATTAAAATCGCTTCGGAATTTATTATTATCCGAGTTATTATCAGTCTTTTCATTATATAACAGTTACGAATACCACTTAAATGGTTATTTTTTAATAATAAAAAAAAAGAATTTATTATTATTAGCCTTTCACCGACAAACATCTACAGTCATATTAAACAAATAGTCCCATTGGCGGATGTTTTTTCGTTAACCAACCACTTCTCACAGTTTTTTGTGTAAATATAAAGCAATTTCTATATAATTTTTTGGCAACTTTTAAACAAAGAAAATCTAATTTTAAAACTAAAACGACAAAAATAAATTAACAATTAACATCTAAAAATCTAAACATATAGTATACTTGGACACATTACTTAATGCTCAATATTTTCTTTCAAGAAACTGCTTAAAAAACTTTGAAAAAATATAAGACCAAAAAAATCTCTTTGTGGCGATATGTTTACACAACTGATTTTAAATTTGGATTTCACACCCTACAAAAAATAAGTACAGTTTTTCTGGACCACTGGAGCACAAAAATAGTCAATTCAAATAACATAAATAACTATAATACCATTACGACTTTCTTTTTAAAAATATGTTTTTATTTCATAATATTTCATAAATAAAATAATAACATAAGTATTGTTTTCTCCATTCTTTTATTATAATAAAAAGGGTTTTATATAAAAACTTGATTAAAATTAATAATATTTTTATCTAAATTTAATTATATAACCAAACAAAATTTACAGCACCTTAAATTATTGTATGTTTATAATAAGTTTTACAATTATTTTAAATTATAAAATTACCAAAAAACTTTTTTGGAAAGTCAAAATAAAAATTTGTTGCAAATGGATATACCTGGTATATGTTTTAATTTTTTTTAAATGATTTGCATTTGAATTGAACAAATATACAAATATATTATATTTAAAAAAAATATATGGTTTCCCTTTAAAATTTATGAACTTGTAAATAGTTTTGTATATGATAAACTTTTATAAAATACATTTATTTATATTTTTAAAACTCTTAATTAATCTTCTTCTAAGGCCACTTTAACTAACGTTCCACTATTTACATTCATTCCATGTTTCGAAGCGTAATGCATCTTCATATTAAATCTTCTTTTCGAGGTAAAGTTGCATTCTCCGCAAATAAATAGTCGAGTTTTCATGCAATCCAACGACGCATGCGCTCTGAGACTATTATAGTTTTTAAATGTCTTTTGGCATATGGGACAGCTTACTTTTTTGGGAGCTTCTAGAAAGAGAGTTATATCGAAATGAATTATTTAAATTTAAAAAGATTGGGTTAGTACTTTATGTTAGTAACCTTTTAATTCCCATTTTTAGTGTTCTTTTATTATAAGTTAAGCTAAAATGGGTGAAACTCAATAAAACAAACATAATTTATTTATTGCAGTTTTTGGTAATTATTTATATCTAAAAATAAATAGTTTACAATAAAATTATCAAATTATTTATGAATACTATAGTATTATTATATATAATACTTAGGTTTTACTAATTAAATTTTTAACATTCATTGCTATTCCATGTATGCCGGCCATATGCCTGCGTAAGTTGCCTTTGATTTTTGTCTTGTATGGACAAAGAGAGCAATATATATGAGCTTCTTTACCACACTCAAATCGCAGATGATTACGCAGTGATGATTTTCTAGAATAACGTTTTTTACAGATAGTACATTGGAAAGGTACCATATCTAAAAAAGACATGTAAAAATTAACTTAAGCTTAATAGAAAACATTCAGCAAAACAAATTAACAATGCAATAAAACAACGGAATTTTGCTAACAAAAGCTTGCTGATTTGTAGGCATAATTTAAACAGATATTTAACTTATTTTTAATAAACTTTATTAAACTAATCATCATTTTCCATTTTGATCGTTGTCTCTGGTCAAAAACCTGAACAAAGTGATTTTACATGATTATTTCAAAACTAACTTTTCACCATTAAATAAGTTTTTCCCATATTGAATCAAATGATAATCTGATAGGCAAGGTTCGGGCTATACAGTGGATGCGTTAACTTTCTTTCAAGTTCTCTCAGTTTTTAAGATATGCATGTCTGCGTGCCATATGCCTGTGTAAGTTTCCTTTGATTTTTGTTTTATATGAACAATGAGAGCAATAGATATTAGCTTCTTTGCCACACTCAACTCGCAGATGATTAAACAGTGACGATTTCCTGGAATAACGGTTTCCACAGATATTACATTGAAATGGTGCTATATCTAAAAACAATCACATGATAAAATAATCTTAGGCTTGATAGAAAACATTCGACAAAGCAAAATTACAATACAGAGTTTTTGTTAATAAATATATAAAAATATAAAAAAATTCCAGAAACAAATTACATTATCCAAATGTGTCAAGGTACTTCTTAAGCCTATCTTTAAAATTTGCCATAACGCGGCGGCAGGTGTCTGCAATTATGGCTTCCATTTTTTGTCGAAGTGGTGGGAGCGGTTGTGTCAATAAGATATCTCCATAAAAGGGTTTCAGGTTCGAGCTTAAGAAGGCCACTAAATGTCTCCTCTTCGAGAAATCAATTTTCCCGGAGAAACCCGATTATTTCGTATGCCGAAATTGTAGCCCAAACGAGGTTCGGGTTTATTTTTAGGATTGCTTATTAATATTACAATTCTTCCAACTTTTTGAATCGTTATATCTCAAAACGGTGGCTCTTAGGAATTTTTTAGATTTCATTTATGATGGTGTTTTGAACAATCCTACCAACTTTGAGTTGGGTGCGAATTTTTGTACCCTCGGATGCTAAATTGACCGGACTATAATAAATATTTTTAATTTGAACCCATACTTTATTTAATCTAAATAAGATTAATTTCAAGGTAATATTCCCTTTGGTATAATATGATTACTAATTATACTTAAACCTTAAGGTAATATTAGTCAGTTCAGCAGCAACAGCTGGTGCTTATATTTTTAATTGGAGATTAGATTAGAGTTAAACTAAATAATGAAATGGCGAAAAAGTTTTGATTTAAGTATTCAGAGCGATACTGATCTTAGATCTAATGTTTGGTCATTGATTAAGGTGTCTTCGCTCAACGGTGTACTTCTTCACTCAACGATATAAGGATATTACATTGTATTTACAGATGCGCCAAACTATACTAAAAATCCGCACTTTAATAATTAAATTACGCCATTACGTCAGTTTTTTTTACATTTTCTACGTTTTGATTACTGTCCACTCTTCTAATATGGCAATACATTAAATCGATGCCAAACACAGAGGCACACGAGGTAACTTTTCTTCTTCTTCAAAGAATCTTCATCAATTTGAATACAGAGCAATGCCTGTGTTCCAGGGTGGTGGCCTTTAGTTAAAAGCTACTTGGCAGGCTTATTTTTTTTTTTAAATTTTAATATAATCAATGGTCTTAATTAAGATACATTGTTCATAAGCATTTAATCATCACATATATTAAAAAATCATAACAATTTTAATCAAAGCAAAATAAGGTTTTTGCCAAGCCACTGCCAAAATTGCTGTCTACTGCTCCAATTACTTGAAAATTTTGCATAAGCTAAAAATAACTTTTATGGAGCAATAAAATAGATTTAAATATTTTTATTGTTTCTTTAACATGTTGTTATTTAACAAAAAGATAATTACAATAAAGCAGAAAATGAAAAGTTGCAAAAATTGGCCTATCACAATAAATACTCTTTCTTTATGTTAAAAACTGGCATGACCTTATCTTGCGTTTCGGGACCACAAACAGCAATAACAGACTCATTTTTATACACCTTTTAACTGCTTGTGTGTGACATGGAAAGTTGAAAATTTAAGGCAAAACAAGATCGGCTACGAGATTTGTATTTTTCAAGCTATATAATTTTAAGGGCTATATAATTTTCCGCTTTAAAATTAAATTTAAGAAGTCTGTTACCTGTCGTAAGCCACCTTGAATGCACCATTTCTGGCTAATCTGGATATAAAAAAAAAACAATTTAAAATAAAAAGAAGAAAATCGCCCTCGGTAGTGTAGTAGTTAGCACTGCGGACTACAAGCCGAGGTCGTGGGTTCGAATCCCACCAGGGGTATAGCTGTTTATTTGAGTTTGTCATTGTGTACTTCTGTAATTGGGCCTGGTGCCTGTTGAAGGCATATTAAAAAAAATTAAAAAAAAAATTGCCAGTTATTATATTTATGCCCAGTTCGGGCATTATTAAATATGCATATTTTTAAGCAAATATTTTATATTCAAAATATATATATTCGATGGTGCAACTTTTACATAA